GAATGTTGAGGGAGGATGCAGTTAGGCATGGAAGATGTGCCACTCATAATTCCAGATGACGCAGAGCTGTGAGTGACCAGTGAGCAAAAATTAGATTGTGAAATCGAGATTTTGAAATATTTCAAGACTGAAACTCTTACGATGACACTAAATCGGGACAGACTAGATTTTCTAAAATGGGTCTGGTGTGGCACAATGGTTGAAATGTGGATTTCTAGAACTAATTTTTAGAAGACCTAGTTTTCTCTATCTGCAGAATCACTGAGAATGATTAGAAGAATACGACTGTCAAAACAGATGACATAGTCTTATGCCTTATAATTAACTATTATGAGTATCAATTGAGAACTGTATCATTCACAAAACATTTTCATATATATCACCATATATAATTTGTGTACACTGCAATATGAGAAATAATGGCTCCACTGAGCTCTGCCTGAGTCTGGGGCCCCTTGGGGTATTGTGTTCACTTCTGGTCAACATTTAAGAAAGAAATTGAAATCTGAAGAGAGCTTGCCATGGTGTAATTTTCAAAAGATGTGAAGTCTATAAAATATGCCCAGGTGGCAGATCCATCTTAACAACTGGCACCCATAAGTTTTATGTCATTGGACAAACTTATAAACCTCTCTGAGTCTATTTCCTCAGCTGACAAGAGGACATGATAGAACTTAGTTCACAAAATTATTGTGAAGATTCATGAGCCCTCATTGACTCTGTGTACACAGAAAGGATCCAATAAAAGTTATTACATCCCCTCTCATGGACTATCATGGGACTTTGATTCCTCAGCTCTTTCCTAATTGGCTTCAGACCCATATCTGTTTCCCTTTGACTCTTTTATCCTCCCACTCCAAAACTTCCCCAGCCTAGCACCAGCTCCCGTGATAACCTGTGGGATCTCAGTGCAGATAGAGCCCATCAAGTCAATAACATTCTGGATCTGCAAATAAAACAATATCAGAAATTAAGATATTCCCCTGACTCTTGGAAGTCAACATGCATCCATTTGCCAATATATATTCAGTGAGCAGCTACTACAAACCAGCAGCTAGATATATAGTGGTGGAAAGGACAGGCTCTCTCCTGAGTCCATAGACATTTAATCCACTGGGAAGTGGGTGTATATGATGTTAACAGTCATTAATGCCTAGATCTTTCGTTAGGGTTTACAGGGTGGTGATATTCCAATTCTACCATTACTTTTTCATGTATTTATTAGGGTACTTTTACTAGAAGTTCCCTACTATCTGGTTATTCAATTGTATAGGAAAGGCAGGCTAGTTGTTTTTCTCTTTTCCCTTTTTTACAAGTTTTCATAAGGAAGTGGATTCAGGTGGCCCCCTAGCATTTTCCAAAGGTGACAGTTAGGGTTTTTTGTGTTGTTGTTGTTTTTTTATTATGAATGTCTAGATTTAAACTTAATAAGTTTAGATGTGCTGTAGTTTTTTGTTGCCATTGATGCATTGGAATATAGACATTGAAATTCTTCCAGTAGATGTTAGAATTCTCCCATTAGACAGTGGAAACTTCCCAAATCTTTTTTATTCAATATGAGAAATATCTGATAGCTTCATTGCTATCTGATATGATAAAATGTTTTAACTTATATGTTTGCCATCCCAGGGCTGGAATTGGTCATTTCTCTTAAGAACCCTTAGTTTATTTTACTGGGAAATAAATTTTAAGATCATAATTTAGGTACTATGGATGCTTGTTCCTACCAGGTTGATCAGGTTTCTAAGCCTCATCAGTGACCAAAGGTAAAAAGTTTAAGACAAAATAGCCAATATGTTCATTAATGAGTTCATTCAGTTATTTTTTTAATTCATATTCAGAGCTACAGCATGTTATTTAAGCTTCTCTATGTTAATCTGTATTTTCTTCTTCCACAATTGGAATCCTACTTTCAAAAATGTTGGGGATGATGAAATTAGAATAACGCATAATTACTAATTTGTTTGATTCCACATATCACACTAAACATTTTTTATAATAGTAATATCAATATTGTTTCTATGATATGATTACCAAAATGGTTTTAAAAACTAATTTTCAGATGCTTGCCTCATTCTCTCCCCACTTTTTTACTGTTCTACCAAATACTATATTGTCAGAGCTCATAACCAATACATACTATGCTCTCCTCCTCATAAACCTCATTTAGTCTTAATTCTACAGAAAAATATATGTGAAATGCTCACCATCAGTCATAATGTCACTGTCTCTCCAGTTATTTTTGGTCACTTAAAGTCATTTTCTTGTAAATTCCTAAAAAGGGACTCATGGAAATAATATTCCCAGAGTTCTTGCATGTTGATGAGAGTTTGTCTGTGACCTTTGTACTTAAAAGACAATTTAGTTGAACATAAAATCCTTGTATCACATTATCACATTTGTCCTTATATTTTAAATGTGTAATTCTATTTTCCCCAGCCCTAAATGTTGTCAGAAAGTCTGACGATATTTTCTCTCTCTCTCTCTCTCTCAGTAATTTGTTTTTGTTTTCTTCTGAATGCCCAAAGGATATTTTTATTTTTAAAAATTGATTTCTTTAAAAGTCATTAGTTTAAGTAGATCATATGTTTGCATTTGTCATTTTTAGTTAATCTTTTCTGTTATAAAGATGACCTTTAAAGGAATACTTCTACACTGTTGGTCATAATGCAAACTAGTTCAACCTCTATGGAAATCAGTGTGGCCATTTCTAAAAGAACTAGAAATTGAGCTTCCATATGACCCAGCAATCCCTCTTCTGGAAATACACCCAGAGGAACTTAAATCTGCAAAAAAAGATACCTGCACATGCATATTTATTGCAGTACTATTCACATTAGCAAAAACATGGAGCCAACCATTTTGCCCATCGAAACTGGACTGGATAAAAAAATGTGGTACATATACATGATGAAATATTACACAGCCATAAAGAACAACATTATGAACTTCTCAGCAACTTGGATGGATTTAGAGTCTATCATATTCAGTGATCTATCGCAGAAACAAAGAACTGAGTACCATATGTTCTCACTCATAAGCGGACCTGGAACATTTACCATAATACAATAAGAAAGGTATTGTCAGTAGCAGACACTGCCACGGGAAGCAGGGGCACAAAACATCAATAAGGGTACCTGATCTCAAACCAGGCAAAGTTGGCACTAAAGGGAGGACCAAAATTTACCTGTACAATGACCACTTGTATACCTAATTCTGAATTGTACCCCACATCTTTAAAATAAAAAAATCTAAAAAAGACAATTTTTTTAAAAATTTGTTTTATTTCAGGAAGTCATTCTAGATTGTAGATTTAATACTTGTTCTACTCCCTTGCTTTAAGTTTTCTTCTTTAGGAACTCCACTCATATGTATTGTGCATCTTCTTTGCTGGTCTTTTATATTTATCACTTTATCTCTAATTTTTTTTATGTCACTTTACATTTTTTTTACTTTTAGAATTTTCCTGCATTGTATCCTTTTCTTCTAAGGCATCATCTATTATGCTTATTCACTTTTAACTTTTTTCTTTTTACTGATCTTTTCTGAAACAGTTGTTTCTTTTATTTCTTTTTCTCTCCTGAGTTTCATTACCCCACTTCTGAGTTTTTATATTTCCCATAAATTCTTCTTTTATATATTGTATCAAAAAGCTCAATTTGAAATATTAATTTATAGATTTCATCCACAAGCATGTCTTTATGTAATACGTTTATTCTCTTATTTCTGCTTCTGATTCTATTTTTGCCTTATAATAATTACTGGGGTTGGACCTCAATTCTTCACCGTTGTTTATTTTATCTAAAATTAACTTTTCTGAACTTTAAATGGGATGTCTGGTTTTGAATACCTTTTCTAGTTTCATCACCCTGGTGCTCCCTCTTCTATTATTTTTGTCAAATAAGTGTTCAAAATGTGGTGGTTCATATTCTGAGAGCCCCTTGCTTCCATTGCCTTCCCTCACTTTTATCTGAAGTTTTGTTTTCTTTTTCTCTCTCATCCCCAGCCTGTATTAGAGTCTGTTGCCAGAAGTTCTCCCCTGAGTCTTTCTTCTAGAAGGGAGCTTTGGTTGACTAGTTTTGAGAGTCATCAGACCCAGACTGTTCCAGTTTCCTGCAGACTTTACCACATAGTCCTTTGTATTCACATACCATTGGAGTAAGCAAACCCCTCCTGATTTTAGCTGCTGAGCTGTCAAAATATTGGAGTAAGTAGATCCTGGTTATTTGAAGTTCTGACATCCATCAGGCACCTTGTTTCTTTCTGCTGGTATTGTATTGATCTCATGTCTCTTAGACTAGAAAGGAACAGGAACAGAGAAAATGCTGGTAGCATGGGGGCACTGTTCAGGAAGCCTCATCCTAAAGAGGGGATGATGGAACAAACTAGTAACATGAACAGGGACTTGGACCCACTCATTCATTTATTCATTCATTTATTTAACAAACAAACATTTGTAGCACCCACTAAAATCCAGATGCATCTGAGAAACTGAAGACACAGAGATGAATAAACCACACAGTTCCGCTGCTGGAGAAACTCACAATCCAGTAGAAAGAATGGACACATCTTATTGAAGGGCTGCCTCCAAATATGTACAAGTCCGGGTATGAGCAGGGAGTAGGTGTGGGAACATTGACCTGGGTCATGGGTGTCTTCCAGGCAAAGGGGCATGTACAGAGGGAAAGAGAAACACAACATGGGCCAGCTAATCATCTCACCTGGCTGAGGAGGTGGGTGTCCAGGGGAGAGGAAGATGAGGAGAGAAGAAGGCTGGGCTCAGACTCAGAAGACTGTGAGTGACCAGCTATGAAGTTTAGGGAGACCCTGGAGTTTATGTTAACAGGAGAGGACATAATCATCCTAACCTGAGGGAAAAAAGGGACTGGATGGGCTGGCAGGGGAGGGGACACAAGGTGTTGAACCTGGGTAGATGGATGGTGAGGACAAGAGAGGCCAACAGGGGAGGGAGAGCCGTCTCAGGAGGAGCCAGGAACCCGTCAGTGCTTGAAATGAGGCCACGTGCTGATGATGTTGTACAAAGCCTGCCCAGGAGACAGGGTTTTGGCCACATCACTGTGACCCACCAGCAGGTAGTTGGGAGTCAGGTATCGCTTGACCACGGCACACTGGATCAGGTCCTGAGCTGCCTCCAGTGCCGCGGCATTGGGCGGAGTACCTGCAAAAGACAGCAACCCGTTACCCATAGGATTCCAGGGCACCCTTCCCAGGACAGAACATGCTCCCAGACATTACCCCACACTCACCACCACCCACCAAGCTAGTATATGTTATCGTTGGCAGCCACCCTATAGACAGAAAGAAAACCAGGTCAATACCTCAAAATAATAAATTGCCATATGATAAACCACAGACAACATCATAGTAAACAGGGAAAAGTTGAAAGAACTTCCCCCTAAGAACTTCTCCCACTTTGCAATATATCCATGCAACTCAACCCCACTTGTACCCCCTAAATCTATAAAATAAATAAATAAATAAATAAAAAGAGAGATGGCGACCTGCAGTGTGCACTCTCAATGCAGGTCAGAGCTCACCACGGCTTTGGCATATAAGGCAGAGTGTCTCCATTATTGCTGCTATAGTAACCAAGAGGGGATGCATCTGCTGATCAAGATGCAGTAAAAATAGGCACAAATGGGCCGGGCTTGGTGGCTCATCCTATAATCCCAGCACTTTGGGAGGCTGAGTCCAGTGGATTTCCTGAACCTGCGGGTTCGAGACCAGCCCGTGCAACCTGGAGCGCCCTCGTCTCTACATAAATAAATAAAAAATTAGCCAGGTGTGTTAGCGTGCACCTTAGTTCCAGCTACTTAGAAGGCTGAGGTGGAAGGATCACTGGAGTCTAGCAGGTCGACGCTGGGGTGGCTGTGAGTGTGCCACTGCACTCCAGCCTGGACAACAGAGTGAGACTCCAACTCAAAAACAAAAAGAATAGGTACAAAAATCCAGTCCCTAAGAACTGGAACAAGAAAAGGATGTTCACTTTCTCCACTCCTATTCAACACAGTCCTGAAAAGTCCTAGGTAGAAAAATCAGGCAAGAGAAAGAAATAAAAGGCATCCAAGTTGGAAAAAGAGAAAGTTAAATTATCTCTGTTCACCGATGATATGATCTTGCACCTAGGAAACCCTAAAGACTTCTCCAAAAGACTCTTAGATTTGATAAATGACTTCCATAGTTTCAGGATACAAAATTAAAGCACAAAAATCAGTCGTATTTCTGTACATCAATAATGATCAAGCTGAAAATCAAACAAGAACTCAATTCCATTTACAATAGCTAAAAGAATAAAATAAAATACCTAAGAGTGCATTTAAACAAGGATATGAAAGAGTTCTACAAGGAACTCTGCTGAAAAAAACGCTGCTGGAAAAAAATCACAAACATAAACAAATGAAAAAACATTCCATGCTCATAGATTTAAAAAAAAAAAAAAAAAACCAATATCATTAAAATGACCATACTGCCCAAAGCATTCTGCAGATTTAACGCAACTTCTATCAAATTACCAAAGTTATTTTTTTACAGAACTAGAATAGAACAACCCTAATACTCATACAGAAGCAAAAAAAAAGCCTGAATAGCCACAGTAATCCTAAGCAAAAAGAATAAAGCTGGAAGTAATACATTACCTGACTTCAAATTATACTAGAAGTCTATAGTAACCAAAACGGCACAGTACTGAGATAAAAACTGACACATAGATCAATGGAATAGAATAGAGAACTCAGAGATAAAAAAACAACTGATATTTGGCGCATCTAACAAAAATATACACCAGAGAAAGGACACCCTATACAAAAAAATGATGCTAGGAAAATTAGATAGCCATATGCAGAAGAATGAAATTGGGTCCTTATATCTCACCATACACAAAAATCAATTTCAGATGAATAAAACACTTAAATGTAAGACCTGAAACTATAAAAATCATAAATTAAAACCTAAGAAAAACTCTCTAGACAATGGCTCAAGCAAAGAGTTTATGCCTAAGTCCTCAAAAGCAAATACAAGAACAAAAGTAGGTAAATGTGACTTACTTAAACTAAAAAGCTTCTGCACAGTAAAAGTAATAATCAACAGAATATCAAAGAGTAAACAGACAACCTACAGAATGGGAAAAAATATTTGCAAACCATGCATCTGACAAAGGACTATTATCCAAAAATCTAAAAGGAACTCAAGCAACTCAACAAGGAAAAATCAAATAACCCCATTTTAAAAAATTGGTAAAGGTCATGACCAGACATTTCTCAAACAAATACATATTACACAAGTGGCCAACAAACATATGAAAAAAATTTTCAACATCATTAATCATTAGGAAACAAATTAAAACCACAATAAAGTGCCCTCTTACACCAGTCAGAATGGCTATTATTTAGCCAAAAAACAATAGATGTTGGTGAGGATGCAGAGAATAGGGAACACTTATACAATGGTGATGGGAATATAAATTAGTACAGCCTCTATGGAAAACACTGTGGAGATTTCTCAGTAATTTCTCAATAATTTCTCAGAACTATCATTCAATTGAGCGATCCCGATAATGGGTATAAAAAATAAGCATTATATGAAAAAGACACTTGCACTCACGTTTGTCGCAGCACTATTCACGATAGTAAAATCATAGTATCAACCTAAGTGTCCATCAACAGACGATTGGCTAAAGAAAATGTGATATATACCATGGAATACTACTCAACTATTAAAAAAATGAAATCACACCTTTTGCTGCCACATAGAGCCCATTATTCTAACTGAAATAATCCAGAAACAAAGACAAAGCCCTCGTGTTCTCACTTATAGATGGGGGCTAAACGATGGGTACGCATGCACATACAGAGTGGAACCATAGATGTTGAATACTCCAAAAAGTAGGAGGATGGCAGGAAGGTAAGGGATGAAACACTACTTATTGGGTACAGTGTATCCTATTCTAAAAGCCCAGGGCTTCGCCACTATGCAATATATCCATGCAACTCAACTTTTACTCCCTAAATCTATTCAATAACAGCCATGACAGTTTGCAGTATGCACTCTCAATGCAGAGACTAGTTCACATCATGGCTTTGGCATATAAGGCACAGTGTCCCCCTATTGCCGCCATAGTAACCAAGAGGAGAGGCATCTGCGGACCAAGATACCATGAAAATATGCACAAATATCTTTTCCCCTGCCTTGCATGTCCCTTAGGTATTGGAGGAGAGAGACATTTGTCTGGGTGTAAAAGAGGTAGATGTAAGCCAGGCTCAGTGGCTCAGCCTGTAATCCCGCACTTTGGGAGGCTGAGGTGAGTGGATTGCCTGAGCCCGCGGGTTCGAGACCCGCCTGGGCAATTTGGCGAGACCTCATCTCTACAATAAATCAAAAAATCAGCCGGGCATGGTAGCGCGTGCCTGTAATTCTGGCTACTCGGAAGGCTGAGGTGGAAGGATCGCCTGAGCCTAACAGGTCGAGGCTGCGGTGGCCGGGAGCAGCCACTGCACTGCAGTCTGGGCGACAGAGTGAGACTCCAACTCAAAAAAAAATAGATGTAGGTGACCATTCTGTCTGAGAATCACCTCTGGTCACACTCAGCTGAGTTAAGTGTCAAATTTGAAGCTGGGCCAGTCTAGCATACGCAGGCACCAAAAGGATGCCTGAGATTGGGACTTTGTCTTCCATGTCAGATGCTCCCCCTCCAATACCATGCAATGACCCTACTACCCAAAGTGTCCACTCACCTGTAAAGGTGCCCATGAAGGCGATGCCCAGGGCAATGTCATCATAGCCAGGAGTGTGAGAGCCTTGGACATTCCAGCCCACGCCTTCATAAATGACGCCATCCTGGCCTACAAGGAAGCTAGAGGACCACAAGGAAATGAAGACCAGCATGAAAGAGAGGCACTGGGATTGTTTCTCTCTTCATTCATTAATTTATCTGTGTCTTTACTCATCAGATTTTGGTAATCTATTACATTCTAAACACTGAGTTATAGCGGTGTGCCGGTAAACCAGCTTGGGGAAATGGAGGAGATCAAGTGAGGAGAAAGAATTCCAATTTACAGCATTTGCTGACTTCTGTGGTATAAAACTCCCACTATGGCTTATTTTAGGTTACCAACAATCTGACAATTGGATCTCAAAATACTGAATCTCAAACAACCAGTTCTCATGAGCTGGCACAAGTTCATTTGACTCTAGCACACCACTGCTGTCCACAAGTAGCTCACAGCCAACGAAGAAAAAAGAGAATGACAGCCTTCAATCCTAAGTCATTCCCCACCTCCCCAAGGAAACTGTTTCCCCCAAGGTGACCCAGAACCTCCTTACCACTAAATACAATATACACTTCTCTGACCTCACCTAACTTGATTTCTCTGTACATTTAACCCTGTCAACCCTCTTATCTTTTCCAAACATTTTCTTCCCTTGGCTTCCATTACACCACACCCTCTTAGATTTTTTCTTCTCTGGCTGCTCCCTGTCTGAACCTCACCATCCTGTTTCCTTTTCTTAAATGTGGGGTTCCTTGGGATGCTATCCTAAGCCCTCTTCTCCCCTCACTCGACATATTCTCTTGGGATTGACTAACCCACATCCTTGGCTTCAGTTGCCATCCCTGGAAGTCCACAAATTCACAACTGGACTCACCTTTCCCCACCTGTTCCCCTTTCTGGTGTCTCATCTTAGTGAAAGGCACCATTCTCCACCCACCCACTGGTCCCAGCTGGCAATCTGAGCATCGGCTCATTCACTTCATCCACTCATTAGCCAAGGTTTATCAGAGGTGTCTCCCAATCACTCTCCATGATCTACCCTGCACCTTAGTCATTAACCACTAACCTCCGCTTATCTCTCAAATTCCTCCATGACTGCTACCACAGCCCTAGTCATACCACCACCTCATCTTGCCTGGAGTACTGCACAGTCCTGAGATCCCACTGCCTCCAGTTTTATCCTTTTCCGTCCAATTCATTTCTGAAGCAACAGCCAGATTGTTCTTTCTAAACTACAAATCTTGTCATGCCAAGACTCTACTATCAGTCCCTCAGCATTGAGTCACACTCCCCAGCTTGAGTTACTAGATCCTTCATGATACAGCCCCTGTCTGCCTCCTCAGCCTCACTTCTCCCACACCCCTCTTTGGTATCAACATCTGCCCTGGTAAACTTCTCTCAGCTCCTCAAAGGCACCTTTCTCAGGCTGGAATTCAGGCTTTTCCACAGAAGCCCTTTCCCCCTTAAACGCTCTTCCCACATCCTCCTCTGACATGCTCCCACTCACCCAGGAGGCCCCATATAATCTGATGCTCCCTTGGGGAGTGCTTACCTTCACACCTATTCCTTCAGCAACCTAAGCCTTCTGTCTACCTTCCATATGTCCTCTATCATAACATTTAAGGTACCCTATTAGGACTTATTTGTCCAATTGTTTTTCTTCCTCACTAAAGTATTAGCTCCAAGAAGACAAGAATCATATCTGTGCTGCACCTGATTAGCATTCCCAGAGCATGGCCTTGTGCCCACCAAGAGTGCACACTCAACCACGTGTTCAATGAATTACACCTTATGAGTAATTGAATGCTTGATCCTGACTACAAATCATCTCAAGGTAACAAAATGAAGTCAGGAAGTTTTAATAGAAGGGGACACCAAAAAAAGTCAAGGGACAGGTAAGCGCTCTCTGAAACCTCAACTGGAAAAGTGAACCTCCCCTCACCTCTACCACTTTCCAGTTTATAATTTCCAAATTTATAATCAATTTTCAAATATCTACTTTAATTAAAGAGAGCAATGCTATGAATAATTCTGTATGGCAGGACCTAGCAAGGCACTTGGTAGGTTCTGATAGACAATAAATGTTGGAGGGAACGTTTTCTTCCTCTATCAAGGCTGCTACTATAATGGGGACAGAGAGAGGAGGGACATTCCACCCAGAAACATGCACCAAGTGATGGTAAATTCATGTAAGGCAGTACTACTGTGTATGGCTATGCAGGTTACATCCGGCACAAAGGTACCTGACTTGGGAACAGTAGGAATTAAAATCCAGGTCCCCTCACCAAGCCATGAATGCCCCTAGAGGTAGGGGCTCCGTCTATTAATGTGTACACATATGCCATAGGAGCCAGCAGTGGCCTGTTTCAAAACTTAAAATTTAGTGTGATTGCTTCTGATAGGACACTAGGTGGAATCTAACTCCAGATGTCTTATGTGTTAGCTCTGAAAGCATTTGTCAAGAAACTTCTACTTGTTTTGTGGACCATTTGTTAGTGTATGTACATGTGGCAGTTTTATTAGCATTTAAAATCAGTGCTTTTTTATGGAAACACCTTGATCAAAAATCTGTCACAGAATATTGAGACCCATCAAAATAATACCTAATGAGAAAAATATTTTTTCCTCTTCCATTAGGTCAATATGTTCTTTATTAAAGAATCACAGACCTTGGTGTTAGAGAAATCAAAAGATATCAAGGGTAACCCCCTCAGGTCCCCTCCCACTGTGGGAGCTTTTCCGTCCTCTTAATAAATCCTGCTTTCTCAAAAAAAAAAAAAAAAAAGCCGGGCTCGGTGGCTCAGCCTGTAATCCCATGCCTTTGGGAGGCTGAGGTGAGCAGATTGCCTGAGCCCGCTGGTTCGAGACCCGCCCAGGCAGCGAGACCTCATCTCTACAATAAATCAAAAAATCAGCCGGGCATGGTAGCGCACGCCTGTAGTTCCGGCTACTTGGAAGGCTGAGGCGGAAGGATCACTGGAGCCCAGCAAGTCGAGGCTGCGGTGGCCGGGAGCGGCCACTGCACTCCAGTCTGGGGCGACAGAGTGAGACTCCAACTCAAAAAAAAAAAAAAAAAAGAAGATATTATGGTAAGTCCCCTACATACAAACCTTCAAATTATGAACTTTAGCAATGCACACCTGTGTTTTTTATGTATTATTACTCTCCATCAGATGTCAGAATAGCTTGTTAAATATAAACAGTACTATATGACCAGTTGTGTTTGTTGGTTATGTAGGCTAACTTTGTTGGAATTAAAGGTGCTCTCGGAATGGAACTTATTCGCATGTTGGCGACTTCCTGTATCTGGTCTCTCCCCCTGCCTTCAGACAGGGAAGGTATTCTCCCAAAGGAGGTTGACATTTTCTAGAAGCAGAGGAGCAGCATAAGTCTAATACTAGGGGGAATCACTTCAGGCTGTGGCCAAACTGAAGGACACAGCCTGAGCCTCTGAGTAGCCGGAGGCAGTTACATCAACAAGACACAACCTTTCGATTAGTTTTTCCACAGGCTTCTTAGTCTTGCAAGCTTATACTTCCTCTAATGTCTTTTCAGCAGAGTCTTGGCATTCGTCATGTCAATATACTACCCCTAAAAGGCACATAGGTTTGGAGAACATGCTTGGGGAAATGGCCACCCACTACTTAGCTATCTCCAATTAAGACCCTCCCAGGGCTGTGTGAAGAATCCACATAGTGTTCACAAGGGCTTCTTGTATGGTAAGTTCTCAGTAAATCTCCATTGCCTTGCCAGAGTCTGCCCCCAGGGAGAGAGAAGCCCACAGTCCTCAGGTCCACTTACTTGTACCCAATGTCACATAACTTGACCCTGTCCATGTGGAAGGACTGGATGTCCCGAACCAGCAGGCGGCACTCGTCAGATATGTTGCAGGTTCTCCCCGCAGTATTGATGATGATGCCATACTTCGCCGGAAGGATCATCTGGGGGCAGTGGGTCTCCCTGGCCCCCCAAGCAGCCCGCGGGACAATGCTAGGGCAAACTGAGGAGTGGCAAAAAAAATGGAGGATCCACGCTGCCCACCCATGTCAGCTAGCTCACTACTGAAGGCCAACGTAACACTCAGGCGTCCTCAACACCCCAGAGCCCAGAGGGACCTCCCACCCTGATCCTGACCGCGGAACCTGAGAGTGGATCATGTCCCAGCAGTGAGACATGGATGCTGTATTCTGAAAGTGCATCTTTGAAAGTCACTTGTAATCCCTAAAACCCTGTCAGTGTAAGCAATCCTTAATACTGATGAATGGCACCAGCCCAAAGGCAGATATTAAATGTATTTGTGACTTTATTTTAATAGAGAAAATTTTCTTTCAAGTTTTTTCAAGCCCAAGAAAAGGCTGAAAGTGCTTATTATCATTACTGTTTTTAATGTTGCTGATTGTTAAACCTAAAATAGTGTCTACCTTTCATTACCCAAATTATGTTAAACTCTTCCTTTGAAGTTGGTATAAATGGTGACTTCAGTTTTTCTTAGCACTTTAGTCTATTAGAGTTGGTCTGGATTTTGTATTCAAAATGTGTGCTTGTGCATGAACACATATGTACAAACATATGAACATATAAATATGTGTAGAAGCATATTTGATCCCTTTTCATACTTTTTTCTCTCCATAGCATTTTTCACCTTATAGCATATAAAAATATGTTGTTTGTTTATTATTGTTATTTGTCTTTCTCTGCCCTCTAGAGTGAAACTTCATGAGGTCAGACATATTTGTGTTTTGTTCCCTGGTATATCTTCAGGGTCTGTTAGCTGTAAATACTTGTTGAGTGATTGAAGAAATGAGTATATATATATATATATATATGACACCAGGCATCATGCTATGACTTTATCATTTTAGGAATCTGGGGGATAGAGAGGTGGCCTGGAGGGTTCCTCCCAAGGTTTGCCAACCCTAATGGTTCCGAGAGTTGAGTGACCAGTTACCTATCAGAAGGAACCAATGAGAGCCCTATTAAGAGGACCATTCCCAACGGTGTTTGAGAGTTAGTAGGGGGTGAGTCTGCAGGGAGGCTTAGCAGGGTAAAAGGTCTCACCTCTCTTCTTCAGACTTTCTTTCTGCCGAGGAGCCAGGCAGTTCTCGCCTTTCACAAAAAGTGGCTGGACATACCTGGATGACAAGTGGCCCTTCTCGACAGCATTGGAGATTAGGGCATCCATGGCTGACAGGGCAGCAGGGCTGGGACTGTGGCCTGGAAGAAAGAGTAATCAAGTAATCTGTGGGAAACTTTGGGCTGGCCTAAGTTTCAGGAGGTCTGTTGTGGGAGGACAGACCTCCTCCTGCTGGTCCCTACTTGCTGTTGGCAAAGAGGAAAGGAGAACAGGCCATATCCCAGGTTGGAGAGCCTGAAAGTTAAGGATCTGCCTGCACAGGTTTCGCAGTGGCTCAGGATGAAGTCCTTTCCCAAACACCTGCCAAGACTTCACTCCCACTCTCCATGAAAGAGCTCAAAGGCAGCACCATGCTCAAGAGCACTCATCTAGCCAGGTCAGGGTTTCCCATCAGCAGGGCTCCTTCTGGGCATGTGTCAGGCTCTTTACCTGCATTGACTCATTTGATCCTCACCACAAACCTCTGAGGCAGATGCGAGGATTCGCTCCATTATTCGTGGCTCCAAGAAGTAACATGCTCAAGATCCCAAGCTCACAAGTGGCAATGAGTAATCATGGGAAAAAAACGAAAAACAAGCTGAACACAAAAGTCCTCTGGCATGCTGGGGAAACCACCCTGGAGCTGGTAATGGAAGATGTGGACTCATGCTCTGATTCCTTTCCTTCTAACTATGACACTTTGGATCATCTACCTCTCTGAAACTCAGGCTGCACCTGTGTATAAAATGGATCGTGACATCTACCTGGACTTTCTCAAAGGGTACTGGGAAGTGAACATGAGAAACTAGGCATGGAAGATCTCTGAAAACAGGAAAGTTGTCCAAATTCAAAGGAATGGTCCTGGAGCATGTATGCTAGGATGCATGTATGCTAGGATGCATGTGACAGGGAAATTTAGAGCAACAGACTAGAAAGAAGTGGAAGGGAGTCAAAGATTAGAGACCTCAGAGTGGATTTTTTATATATATATAAAAATCATCCAGGCTCAGTGACTTATGTCTGTAATCTCAGCACTTTGAGAGGCCAGGGCAGGGCCCAGGAGTTCAAGACCAGCCTTGACAATACCGCAAGACCTTGTCTCTATAAAAACTCAAAAAAATTAGCTGGGCATGGTGGCATGCACCCGTAGTCCCAACTATTCAGGAGGCTGAGGCAGAAAGATCTCCTGAGTCCAGGAAAATGAGACTACAGTGAGCCATGACCATGTCACTGTACTCCAATGTGGGCAACAGAATGAGATTCTGACTCAAATTTTAAAAATAAGTAAAATAAAAACATATTAAAAATCAAGGAATAAGAGATAGAAGGAGGAGGTGCCTGGCAGGAAATTGGAAAACACAACCTCAGCTACAGAAAAGTCAGAGCTAGAGAGGAAGATGTGATCCTCATTGACATGGAGGTGACAGCTGGTGCCCAGGTCTTTTGAAGAAGAGAGGAGGAGAATCGGATTGCAGAGAAACAAGTGGTTAGCATCTCCACTTGCAAGATGGCTAGAGGTCAAGGAAGAGGAGCCACAAGATAGCTAGAGGACAAGAGAAGCCAGAGCAGCAGGAGAAGGCACTTCACAACATCATGTCATGAAGTCAAGGGAGAATTCCAAGTCAGAGCGGGTCTTCAGAGAAATATGGCAAGGGTGTGAAGACAGCAGGGCAGTAGACCAGTACTTCCCATGAAATGGTGCTTGAGACAAAGATGTCTCAAGGATACCTTGAGACAAAGGATTAGAGAACGCTTTGGGGAAGGTCAGCTGGAGTCACCATTACCTTTCTTTGTGCCGAAGAAGGCAAAGCCCAGGGAGATGTTGTTGTAGCCTTGAGTGTGCACACCTTGGACAGTCCAGCCAACACCTTCATACACTCTGCCATCATCTCCAACCAGGAAGCTATGGAGCAAGAAAACACGGGCTTAATGGCTGTCACTTAGCATATCCCTGAGAGAGGAAACCACATATCTGGCCTCAAAAGGAAGAGGGGTTCAAACAATGTTTACTAAAAGAAATATGCAGGGACTTTTACCAGACAATGGAAAGATCAAGTTATATGTACTCATCCTTAGAATTCAGAAGGACTCACTCCCATACTCTCGACCTCTTCCCATGTTCAGATGCTGAAGTTTTATATAAATCATTCCACATACCCAGAAGGAGAAGGGGTTCTGCACAGTAACTATCACCAACCCAAGCATGCAATGGAAGGTCTTTCTCGACCTCCACACTTTCTTAAACAAGGCTTTCCTCCTTTCTCCAGAGTGCAGGCTGCCTGCACGGTCCTTTGCTTTCTCCCTGCTGGGTAACTGTCCTACATAGACATCCCATGAAATAGCACCTGAGACAAGGAAGTGGATGCAGGTAGTTTATTTGGGATGGGATTCTGAAAGCCATGAGAGTGAGACAGAAGGTAAAAACCCAGCAAAGTGTGTGAAATTGGGCGGGCTTATAGTGGCCCTGCCTGACCTGTGGTCTTCCGAGGAGCTACACACATGTACTTTAGAACTGTCTGTCAGAAGGATGAGGGCTGAGAAGGCTGTCCATCACCTGCTGTCCGCCAGGGAGTCATTTATTCCCTGTCACTATCAGTGGCTGAGGGCAGGCTTTTTGCAGGAGAGCAGAGAGACACATCAGGTATTTAGAAAGTTATCATCACACTCAGGAACTGTTCACTGCTAACCAAAGTCAAAGGTGGGCCAAGGGCATGAGGTCCAGGCATCAGAAGGACCTACTAGGGTGATCACAAGGACTCACAGATGGATGATCACCTCACCAAGGTCAGAGCCTCTGCATGTGGTGTGGTGGAGCATGCCACGGGTGAGAGACCGTTTGGGCCAACTTAGACTCCACACATTCAAGCCTGTGTGACTTTGAGGAAATCAGACAGCGCACCCTACCTTAGATTTCCCTTCTGTAACATACAGATGACGAGACTTAACTACTAACCACACAGGGTTATCGGGAGAGCAAATGCTCTCATGTTTAAGGAGGTTGTCTCCAGCCTATGATTTGTTCTATGCAAGCCAGTTTTGGAGGAGGGTAGAGAGGAGTTATTACTTAACCTTTCTTGCTTCCTTTTGGGAGATCTCAGAGGCAGGGACCACACAGAAAATTCCTGAGTTTGGAATTTCACGGGAATTTTTAATGTTTTATTCATTATAAAATTTGTAGAACTACAACCCAGAAAATGAGGACTAAGATGGGATGGGACAGGAGAAGCACCCTAGGGGAGCAATGTTGACTACACGCCTCAGGTCCCAGGCCCAGCCTCTTACCTGTAGGCCACATCGCAGCCACTATTGTTGTGGACGTGATGGGCCTGCAATTCCCGCAGTCTCTGACTGCAGACAGTCTGGTCGTGACACTCCAGTCCGGGGATGTGGTGTATGACAAGGACATCCACTGGTGTGGTCAGTTGAGTGCTGCAGCTAATAGCTTCTGCTCCCCACGCCTTGCGAGAGACCATAGTGGAGGCATCTGTGGAGGAGCAAGCCAGGGGGACACCACTTGGTGCATCTGCCTCATCATTGCTGTTAGCCACCTGGGCTGCACATGCAGGTGTGGACTATGCCCGAGGAGAAAAGCCTACACCCTCCTCTGCTCACCTCTGTATCTCTATCTCACTGACACTCACCCCCAATACAGAGCCTGCCTCTGACTAGCTCCGCCATCCTGGGACCCCCCTACCATGGACAAACCCCATCTTCTAGCTCCCTCCCTGCTCTGACCCAGGCCCCCCACTACAAGGAGCAACTCAATCTCACCTGCTCATCTCTGGGGAGAGCCCAGAGATGCCCACTGACCTCTGTAGCTCTGAGTACACTCTGAGGGGCTACATCTCTTCCCTACCTGGGGGACCCTCAGAACAGGGGCTGTGTCTCCCCCTGTGTCTCAGGACTCCTTGAGGAACAGAGTTTAGGTGTCCATCCTCAGGCTTGGGGCTCCATGTCTGAAGAGGCTGTTTCTCCCCTTCCTGGGTTTCTGTCTCCTCCCAGGACCACTCCTACACCCAAAGACCCAGGGCAATCTGTGCAGGTGGTTTGCCAGAGCTACTCTCTGCATTTAAACCCCATTTGCCCCATCCCGGTCACATGCAGCTATGTAGCCCTCAGAAGCATTTCCAATCACATGAAAAACCCCAGCCAGGTCCCAATTCTCCTTACCTTTGAGACCTGGTTTGCCTTTTTCAGTGAGCTGGGAAATGTTGCCAAGCAGGTACTGAAGCCCCTCTGATATCTGTTTAGCTTGTGTTTTGTTCCAGGAAGAACCACCTGCAAAAAAATGTTCCCTTTTTGTACTGGTCTTCCTTCAGAGAGCTCCAGTACCAGCCATCACCGTGGCACGAGCTCTGGTCAGAAACACCCAACCCCTTACTGCCCCTCTGTCTCTCCAAATCCCAGAGCCCAAGAAACCCCTCTGGGCTGACCAAAGAACCACCTATAGTAACAGTAGGTGGCATGACTCTTCCTCCAAAACCAAAATCATCTCCAGGTAATTGTAATCCCCCTGTTTAAACAGGTGAGGTTGGGGAGTGGGAAATATTATCCTTTTCTCACGAGCTGCATCTATACACACAATTGGCAAAAAGCAACCCAGAAATGTATTCAATCACTTCAAAACCACAAAGTCCTCTGCTGTGTGAATTTTACCCGAGCATTGGGAAGAGCATGTGGAGAAAGGGTCAGAATTATCTGCATGGATCAAGCCAGATCCCCCAGGATTGAATTGGGGGTCATTTGCTGTACCCACTCTCCCGTGGGAAGGCCCATGGGGTATGGGCAGGTGCGTTGATGGACATTCCGACCCCCAAGGAATTTTCTCTTCTTGACGAACACAAACCCAAGTCATAGGTTAGGTTGATTGACATCATAGTAATAAAAATATAATCATTATTTCCATTTGCTCTTACTGCCCAAGGGCTATGTTTTTCCTGTGCATATCTCCTTTAATGCTCACAGAAAGTTCCAAAGGTCACAATCTCAATTTTCAGGTAGGAAGATTAAGGTTTAAAGAGCTGAAGATTTGTTCAAAATCATTATTAGAAGCAGAGCAAGGATTGAACCCAGGTCTACAGACTCTACGTTTTGTGCTCTAAGAACAATTTAAATGTTCTTTCTCCCCAAGAGAGAACAGGCATTTAAAGAATTCCTCTGGTGAGACTTTAGCATGACCCTTCTCGGTTGGTTGCTCTTCAGTCCAGAGGAAGAAAACATACCCAAGGCCTGGAGACCCAGAGCGGAGAAGACCAGAATCCACGGCAGCATCCCCACGTGGCCCCAGGACACTGACCAGGAGAGTGTTGGCAGCGGCCCTGGGAGAGACACAGTTCTTCACATGACTCTACTCACTCTGCAAACAGACCACCCCTAGCCAGACTGCATGGGGCCCCAACCACCTCCACCCCACCATCCTGTGGGCTCTTGAGGGCCAACAGCTGGCTCTGGCTTCTCAGGGTCCCAACACACCACAGGTGTCAACACCCTCTTTCTGCTGTGAACCTAGCAATGCAATTTCCGTGAATGCCTCCTGTGTACACACTTGCACATGCAGTCTCCTTTAATTAATCCTCACATTCAGCCTGTAACGAAGGACTGTCAACCCCCATTTTTAGGCGAGGGGAATAAGATCCAAAGATAATACAACCAAGAAACACGAACTCACATGAATGGATCTACGGCAGAGAAGTCCTTCCCAGTTGGGGACGGGCCAGGTGAGGAGAATATAAGAGTAGGAGGGAGGAAGTCCCAGGTCTAGGGGAGAGGGAATCTGGTCTTAACACGCCATCTAGTGGACTGCAGCCCCTTTGCAGGGAGACGGCTTTGAAGAAGAAACACACTCACGCTCAAACTCAGAAATACCTGTGTGTCCTGTGCTGTCCCAGTCCAGCAGGTCAAGGTGAAGTGGGTTCACTCCTCATTGGCCAACCGACAGCTCCTTCCCTTCCAGACTTGGCCTTCACTCCTTCTCCAGCCAGTGCCTCCTCCTCTGCCCTCACACTCCCTGGCCCTAGAGGGCACTTTCTACCTGGGAATGGAGCACTTGGGCTCTGGCTTCCCAGGGAAAAGAGAAGAACCCAAGTTACCCAAGAAAAGATGGAGGGAAAGAGGGCTGAGGCACCAAGCTGATTCTGTCCACAGCACTGAGAGAAACTCAGGCAGGATCAGACCCAAGCTGGGAGCACCTGGGGACCCGCCCTGTGAATAAGCCCAGGTACCTCCTCCCTGGGAAAGGGCACGATTGCCCAACACCCCCTGAGTTCCTTCCTCACCCCAGCCCTAGGTATGCCTGGCCAACTGGGGAAGCCTATGGGCCTGGGGCTGTATACCTGACATCTGAGAACTTCCTGCCCATGAAGATCTACCCCAGGAGTCTAAAGGCTGTGGAATGAGGTCCCAGGACCCCCACCCTGTCCCCTTCCACCAGCCGGGGCAGGACGGAGGGAAAGAAGTAGAAGAGCTCATTCCCAGGAGGCAGCTGGCAATGCATCATCACTAGAATTCATTCTGACCTGGTAGCCTACATGTCTGTCCATCATCCTCCTCCTAACTCGCACCACCCTAAGCATCAAATCATCACCCACCACTGGAAGCCTCCCACAAACCAGGAGTCTCCTAGCCCCTCACCCACTCCTGGTTCAAGGCCATGTTCTAGTTATCACCTACCCATGTTTCCCAGTCTGCAGCCCTGGGCTCCGGATCCTTGAATCCTCACACAGGAAACGCCAGATGACACTTTCTTTTCTTTTTTTTTTAGCTTAGGCATAAATTTATCCATAAAGGTAAAAGATCTTCACATGGAAAACTGTACAATATTAGTAAAAGAATTAAAGTAGGCACAAATAAATGGGACTATATTATGTGCTCATGGATTAGAATTAATATTATTAAAATATTCATACTATCTGAAGTTATCCACAGATTCAATGCCATTGCTATCAAAAATTTTTTTATTTAAAATTGTAGGGTAAGCCGGGCTCGGTGACTCAGCCTGTAATCCCATGCCTTTGGGAGGCTGAGGTGAGTGGATTGCCTGAGCCCGCGGGTT